CCAGTGCAGGACCAGCCTAAAGCATCTCTGACAAATATCTGTCCTCCTCTTGAAAGCTGTCAGTGAAGGGGAGCCAACCACCTCCCTAGGTAGCTGATTCCACCTTTGAACCACTCTGACCGTGAAAAAGTGTTTCCTAATATCCAGCCGATATACCTTTCTGCATGTAATTTAAACCCGTTGCTTCGGGTCCTCTCCTCTGCTGCCAACTGGAACAGCTCCTTGCCCTCCTCCAAATGACAGCCTTTCAGATATTTAAAGAGAGCAATCATGTCCCCCCCCCATCTCTTCTCCAAACGAAACATTCCCAAGGCCCTGTGCCTTTCCTCCGTAGGGCTCAGTCTCCAGACCCCCGATCATCCTCGTCGCTCTCTTCTGCACCCTCTCGATTTGTCCACATCCTTTCTGAAGTGAGGCCTCCAGAAATGCACACACAGTACTCAAAGTGTGGCCTGACCAAGGCAGTATACAGAGGGGCTGTGACCTCCTGTGATTTTGATGCTATGGTTGCTAATACAACCCCAGACTGAATTCGCTTTTTTTGCCACCGCATCACACTGACTGCTCATATTTAGTTTACACTCCACCCTTACCCCAAGATCTCTTTCGCATACACTACTCCCCAGAAATGTACCCTCCATCCAGTATTTGTGCTTGACATTTTTGTGGCCCAGATGCAATACTGTACATTTATCTTTGTTGAATAGCATCCTGTTTGCAACTGCCCACTTCTCCAGATTATTCAGGTCTTCTTGAATTTTAACTCTATCTTGGGTATTTGCTACTCCTCCCAGTTTGGTATCATCAGCAAATTTAATAAGTAGCCCTTCTACCCCTTCATCCAGATCATTGATAAAAATATTGAAAAGTACCGGGCCTGAAACCGAGCCCTGCCTGAGCCCCCCGCTGGACACCTCCCTCCAATCTGATGAAACGCCATTGACCATCACTCTTTGGGTGCTGTCCTCTAACCAATCCCCTCTCCACCGAACTGTCCTGTAGTACAGCCCACAGTTTGCCCATCAGAATGTCATGGGGTGTCAGACTCCTCTTGGCATCATAATAAGCACGCTTTATAAGAAAGGTAATGTTATTAGAGCTGAAGGATGCATAACAGGATCACTGTTCAGAATGGGGCATACAGGCAATGGCAAAGCATATAATAAACTTTCAAACCACTACTGCCCAATTGCAGGGCTTCCCGCGCGCTTGCAGACTTTCCCTGCTCGCGCCTTTGGGCCTGAGAACTAACGGCTCCAAGTCTCTCATGTTATCTTCTTCTCACGGTGATTCATGAGAGCTTCCCCTGCACTAACAAGCCTGGCTTCCATCTGTGGCCTTGGGAGAAATAATTGTTACGGTGAGCTACAAAGCCATGCGCATCTACGAGTGTACACAAACAGACGCAAGCGCGCACACACACACGGAATGAAAACAAAGCATTGGCAGCTTGCTGACATGGGGAACCTTACCAAAAGCTTTACTGAAATCCAGGTAAATCACATCAACAGAGTTCCCACGATCCAGTAAGCTCGTCACACAATCAAAGAAGGAAACCAGGTTGGTCTGACAAGATCTGTCGGGGACAAAACCATGCTGGCTTCTCCGGATCACTAAGTGGTCCTTCAGATGCTTACAGATCGATCCCTTTAAAATCTGCTCTAATATCTTCCCAGCAACAGAAGTCAGACTGACTGGCCTGTAGTTTCTTCCCTTTCTTAAAGATTGGGATAACATTCGCTCTCCTCCAGTCTTGTGGCACCTCCCCAGTCCTCCAGGAGGCCTTGGAGATGATGGACAGAGGCTCTGCAAGTTCCTCAGACAGTTCTTTGAGCACTCTTGGGTGCACACCATCTGGCCCAGGGGGTTTGTATTAATCCAGTGCAGCCAGGTGCCTCTCCACAATCTCCCTGTCAATGTCAACTGGACACTCAGGTGTCCTGTCATGTCCTATACCTTCTCTAGATGGGCTCAAGTTCTTCTGGGAGAAAACAGAGGCAAAGAAGTCATTAAACCTGTCTGCTTTTTCTTTGTCCTCCACCAGTTTCTCCTTCTACTCCCAAAAGTGGTCCAATTGCCTCTTTTACCTTGCATTTGCTTCTCATGTACCTGTAGAAGTTTTTCTTATTGTAGCGGGCCTCCCTGGCCAAACTAGGGGATTAGTTTGAATCATTATCCCTGTAGCTGTGTGTCTGCATAGCATTTGAAAATAGCAAGAGTCCAGTAGCACCTTCTCTTGTTGACCTGCACGATACCTCACAAGAATACAGATCCTTGTCCCAATGAGTCTTGGTTCCCTCCCTACTTCCCAGCTACCAGCTTTGTATGCCCCCCCCCCCCAATATAAACCAAGCCAGGAAATGCAGAGGGGGCATCAGGCAGGCAGTGGGCTGGATCCAGGCAGTTCAGTCTTGCTCAGTTCCCTCCTTACTCTGGCCCATGTCTCAGATGGCTTTGGAACGTGCAAGGCCCTATGGTCCCCTGCATAGTTTCTTTGACAGTTTTGTAATATCAGACACTAGGAGTAAGGCCCGTTGTGGGAAGAAATACAACGAGCTCTAGAAGGAAGCTCCAGGTGAGTGTACCGGTTGTGGCGGGGGGGGCGGCAGAGGGAAGGGGGAAATAGAGGGAGGCGAGCCATGTTTATTTCCTTCTGCTTAGCTATAAGGCAGGGCTGTCTCAAGTCATTTTGCTGCCCCGAGTGCCTAGTATGGGAGGACAGCCTCATGGTTAACAGGTATGGTTCCCTCCATCCCTGACTTATGTTGATTTGGGGTTATGCAGTGGCAGCTAAGATAGAAAAGCACCTCCTCCTGTGCCATGTCTTCTGGGTTCCAAGGTCTGGAAAGCGGTTCCATAGCCAGTTACAGGGTTGCCAACTCTGGGTTGGGAAATACCTGTAGATTTGAGGGGTAGAGCCTGGGGAGGGACCTCAGCAGGGTATAATGCCATAGAGTCCATTGCCGAAAGCAGCCATTTTCTCCAGGAGAACTGATCTTGGAGATCTCCAGGTGCTGCCTGGAGGCTGGCAATACTAAGGGGAGGGCCAGGCCTGTAGGTTTGAGGGGTAGAGCCTGGGGAGGGCAGGGTTTGGGGTGCGGAGGGACCTCAGCAGGGTATAATTCCATAGAAGTCCATTGCCCAAAGCAGCCATTGTAATAGCTGGAAAATTTTCTGTAGGGGATGTGCTGTGGCTGGGGAACACGGTGATTTCTGGGAGATCTCCAAGCCCCACAGAGAAATCTGCAACTTCAGTGACCGTTTAAGGGAAAATTGGGGTATGTATTTTACCTCAGGACACATTCAATGAGTCCCAACAACAACACACTGTTTAGAATGTTAGAGGCAAAGGCCAATCAGGCCACATATGCAAATAACCTCTGTGTTCCGACTGGCTATTGGGGGGAGAGGAACAGCAAACTGTTTAGAATATTGGAGGCGAGACTCAGGCAACACAGCCAGTGGATAGGAACAGCTTTTGAGTGACAGATCAGGAAGCCAACAGATTTGGGAGCATGTAGAATGTCCAGGAGAGTCCACGACCAAAACAGAATTATACAGAGAAATTCTCCAAGATTCACAGCACAGCCCTTGCCATTCCAAAGCAATGTTCATGGAAAAAAATTAAGAATTATACTAAGTCATCTGTAGTATCTCAAAGGCTTTATTGAAATCAACTCATGAAGCCAGGTACTTACATTTTTCAGCTCTAACACTGGGAGCAAGTCTACATGTTCCATTTTGTACAGTTAAGATTTCAGGACAGCTATAACTATTTTAAACCACTTTGAATAATGTCATTCATACTGCCTGTATTTTAATGATAATTATATATCTGCTTGTATGGAAAAGTGATCAATATGAACTATTTCTAGATTAACATAAAGATCATGTCATACAAAATGATGTACATTTGACAGTTTATAAGTGAAGATTTGTACGGTCATGGTATTTCTGGAAGGGATCATTGGCATACCAGTTTCTTCTCTTCCAAAAGGAAGTGGTCATTTTATCAAGGAGCTTGGATTGAGTTTTATTGCAAAACACTTGTTGCCTCAAGCGCTGTTTCCGTCTAGCACTTTTCTTCCAAAGTCTCTTCTTATAACCAGCCTGTTAGCAGATAGCAAAGAATTCGAAGTCATACTAAAACAGGATGCTTTTTACAGAACAGATAAATATTCCTTAACCAATCAGATCTGCATACGGCCAGGTGTATTTCCTCCATTTTATTACCTTTTACACTTTCTAACATAGGTGTAATCTTCGAGGGGGCTCGGGGGCTGAGGCTATTCCCGAAATTTTCCAGGGGTGAATGATCCCCCTTCCGAAAATCACGCCTATGCTGCCCACCCATTCTCTCCCTGCCCCAGCCCTTGGGGGGGGGGGGGCTCAAGAAGCCCTGGCACCCTGCTGCCGAGTCTGCTCGCACCGTGGAGACTCACAGCTCGGCTGGGCAGAGGGCGCCCCTCCTGGCCTGGTGCCGTGTTTGCCCTGCAGAGCAACATTGCACAGCCTCCCTCTTTCCCACAGCTCCTCCACCCTGGCCGGTGGCTGGCAGCCCGCGGGATCTTAGAGCGCCAGGCGCCCAGCCTTGGGGGGAACCCACGCCCACTGGCTTCCTCGGGAGCAAGCCGGCCTGGTCACCAGCCTCGGTGCGCCCTGGGTTGTGCTCCCTGCGGCCTGAAAAGAACAGAACGGGCATGTTAAAATTTGGGGTTTTTTTGTTTAAGTGCCACTCTTTAAAGGAAGAGGACTCTTGTCTTGGCCTCCAATGTCTAGTAAAAGGTTAAGAACAGTTGTGATTCCCAGACCGGATGCAAAAGGGGAAGGGGCAAACTCTGAAGTTCTTCTCCGGTTGGGACCCAGTTTTCCTTTCGGAAGGGCTGCAGGGCTGAGGCTGCTGGGAAGCGTGAAAATCTGCGGGGCGTGGAGGGGCAGGGGAGATAGGAGGGGGAGAAATTCCCGGAGGCTGGGCAGCCCTGCAAGGGGGTCTCTCTGGGTCCCACGTGCAAGGGGTGGTCAGGCTGGCCCTTCCTCTGCTCCCGAGGAGGGTTGCCAGCTCTGGATCTGGCCCCTTAAACTGGGGATGGATTTGTAGCAAGGAGCAGGAGGGGACCGGGTTTTCCTCTGGGCCTGGAAGAGATTCCCTTCCTGATCTCTGCAGGTGAATCCTCGGCTAGAGGGGAGGGGGAAAACGGAGGCCCCCTGTGGCGACCCCTCCCCAATCTACCAGCCCGAGAGGGCTGCCCCTTTCCCCCCTGTCTCCCCTCAGCTGAGCTCCCTCAGTGGCCTCCAGGAGAATCCCACCCAGAGAGCCCTGGGGAGGGGGAGGGGTTGCCTTCTCTGCTCTCCTCAAAAGAATCTTTCCCTTCTTGTGGCAAGTGGGATATGGGCTTTGGAGCAGGAGGAAGTGCGCAAGTGCCACTCGGGTGTACAAAATGCAGAGATCATTCATTTGGCTTGGCTTGGGGTTTTTTTTGCGTAGTAGTAGGTTGCATGATCCCCCCCACGTCCAGAAGCGTATCATCCTCCAGTCTCTGAGCATGAACAGAGTGCCTTGCATTGATTTACAGAAACATTAGATGTGTTGGGCACATGGATGGGGAGGGAGGCATTTCTGTAATAAGGGAGAGGCTGTACCTCAGTGACAGATCTGATCCTTTGCATAGAGGAGATCCCTGGTTCTATCCCGGGTATCCCCTCCCAAACCTGCACTCCATAAGGGGACAGGCCTTGAGGACAACTTCTAAGTTCAGGAATTGAAGACACACCACCATAGCTCAGTTTCTATCTGGAGTTAGGCAAAGGGAGAATGCTATATTACACCTCTTGAAATTGTTCCCTTGCCTCCCTGTTAGTTTCCAGTTTCCAGGTTCAGTTTGAGGGGCTGGTTATCACCAGGAAACCCCCAGTCCTGCAGGGCAGCCAGTCCCATTAGCCTGTATGTGTGCAGGTGCCTTCCAGAGGGTCTATCAAGGCCAGTCTGGTTCTGCTGTACGAGATTGGGGGGGGGGGACACATGCAGATCAGAGGCCTTTTAAAATTCCCTTTTGTCCTGTGTGCAGCCCAGAAAGAACATTGGCAAGAAGTGTGCACTCTATACACTTTCATGCTCTTAATTTTGCTGTTACTTAAAATGGTGTGGTACAGTTTCAAAGGGACAACTAACTGGGATGTATAAAAGGAATGGCAGGATTGCCCACTGGAAACAATGGGAGAGGCTTGAAGGCCCACGGGAGCTAATGGGAGCCACGGGTGCCAATTGACTTGCATGGGCTCTACTGAAATGCACTGCAGCACAAAAAAGTTGCAAAGAAAATTTGGAATGGTTTTTCCATTAAGGTGTTTGGGCCCAGATAGGATACTCTGGGACTGGAATGACAGCCCCCAGAGTGGAAAGACGGTCCCTAGGAAGAGAATCTGTGCTCGTGTACTGGAATGACAGTCCCCAGAGTGGAATGATGATCTCTAGCAATAGAATCTGTGCTGTGGAACACTGAAATGACAGGTCACAGAGTGGAATGTCAGGACATCCCCTAGGAATAGGCTCAGTGCTCTGGGACTGGAATGACAGGTTGCGAAGTGGAATGACAGCCCCTGGGAACAGGCTCAGTGCTCTGGGACTTGTACTCACTTGTAGGATATGAGTTTGAAGTGAGAAGATTGCTTTTACTCTGAACTCTGTACATTTCTCAGATATTGAGTGCACAGCAACTGTTTAGTATTCTGGCTCAGAGACTTCAGCCACGCATTTACCAAACGAAGGCATCTGTCATGCCATAATTTAGTAAATTTCAGTACAAAGCCACCCTTATGAATAAGGCAGAAACAAGACTCCTGTAAATGAAAGCCCAGGTAAACTTTTAAAATGTTCCCCTACAGGCTTTTCTGTGTTGTCTTCCTTACTGTCAAATTTGTGACCATTACTTTGTCTGATGCACATGGTATGTATATTTGCAGATCTTAAAGTGACTATTCTAAAAG